ATGTTTCACAATTAGCCAATAATAACGTGTTATCCAATTTCATGTGACGACCAATCACGAGAAAGTTATCCTATATGTATATACTGTATATATTTATTCAATTAGCTTTTTTTTTGACCCGGCTGATTTTGATCCGGTTTTGATCCGGCTAAACCTAATAACTCGGGTCAACTTAGAATCGGTTGCGCCAGTTCGGTTAACCGATTAAGGATTTGGTACGTACTCGGTTGAATGTATAATGTTCGTTAGCTCACATGTATATTTACATCACGTGAATATGTAAATATATTTTTGTGTAGCCTAAATCTTATCACGAGGAAAGACAATGCCCGAAATACCGTGTATAATTGTGGTTCGATAAAGTTAAAGAAATTCATATAAATTTAATAAAGAATTTTTTTTTTTTATTTCTTCTAATTAACAATGGATAAATATCAGGTATGCTTTGTCTTTTTATATAGATTTGACTTTGATATTTCGCAGCATTAAAACACCATTTATGCTCGCTTTTCCCTTATTTACAGAAAATTGAAAAGCTGGGAGAAGGTTTCTATACTATAACAATATGCTTGCCAACACAGCCCCATTGCAAATCTATATACTAATGGCATTGTTTCGTTTATATCATCGTAATTAAGGAACGTACGGAATTGTGTATAAGGCACAAAATAAGGACACAAATGAGGTGGTTGCTCTGAAACGTATAAGGTTGGATAACGAAGAAGAAGGGGTAAGTCGAAAATTTATTTTGTTTCTGATCGGGCTTCGTAATATTATACATATAGCATAATAAATTAACAAAATCGAATTGATTTAAGGTTCCATGTACTGCCATTCGTGAAATATCATTACTGAAAGAATTAAAACACGCAAACATAGTAAGGTAAATCTATATTTTATTGACGATCTTTTTTCTTTTGTATTTTTTTTCGTGTATTTAGAATAATTAATTAATCCATTTTCATAAAGGCTTTATGATGTCTTACATACGGAGAAAAAGTTGACACTAGTATTTGAATATTTGGATTCGGATTTAAAGAAATTCTTAGATACTTATGGGGGTGATCTAGACGTATTAACAATCAAGGTACCAAAATAAATAATATATATATCTATTTTAATTTATTATAGCCGCCTCTTTTGTTAAATTTATATTATTTCGTAATAGCAATTAATGTATCAACTTTTGAAAGGCATCGCTTTCTGCCATGAGCATCGAGTCTTGCATAGGGTAACCACAGATTATAATCATTATTATTTATTCGTTTATTATGTTATAAATATATTAATTGAATTAAAACTGATAGGATCTCAAGCCACAAAATTTATTAATCAACAAGGTAGGTCTTTTTTTCGAGCCAATTATGTATGCATATAAGATCGACTTTAGACAGATATATATTATTTTTATCAAATTAGAAATGCGAGTTGAAATTGGCTGATTTTGGTCTTGCGCGTGCTTTTGGAATTCCAGTACGAAGTTACTCACATGAGGTTAGAATAATTGATCTGTAAGATTGCATAAAACTTAGATTTTTATTCTGATTCAGAAAAGGCATTTTTATAGGTAGTAACGTTATGGTATCGTGCGCCTGACGTTTTGATGGGATCAAGGCAATATTCCACATCTATCGACGTATGGTCAGCTGGATGTATATTTGCAGGTATATTAGGAAGTATATTTTATGAATTTTATCTACTTTTGGCAAAAAGTTTACTATTATTATTATTTGTATTTAGAAATGGCTTCTGGTAGACCGTTATTTCCAGGAGGTTCTATTAAAGACCAATTATTGAGAATATTTAAATATCCTTTCCTTGGATAAAAAAACTCTTCCGAACTCTTGATTCAAAATTTTTTATGTTAAATCCTTGACCACTTTGCACAGTTCTAGGAACACCAACAGAGGAAACATGGCCAAAGGTCTCACAGCTGCCAGATTACAAAGTATGTGTAACTAGCATTGCACAATCTTCGTTAAGCATATTATGCACATACAATATAACAATTAATTATATGATTATCTTTTATTATACATAGAATGATTTTGCTATTTATACCCGGATGCCATTGGAGTCACTTCTTCCAAAGCTAGATAAACATGGCATTGATCTATTAAGTGTGAGTTGATTTATCTTTGATTTGGCTAAGAGGCCTTATTGAAATATGAATATAGTCTTAATCCAAGATTTGGTCAAATTATTGTAGAAATTAATAGAATATCAACCTGAGAAACGTATAAGTGCTGAAGATGCATTGAAACACCCGTATTTTGAAGAGATTCGCAAAAAGGAAACGTTACAGCAGTCCTCCGTGTAAATTAATAATATTTTATATACTTGTGATGTTTCTTCCTATTCACCATTTTGGCTAGGGTCTGTAAAATACCATAATATAAGTGGTATAATTTAATATCTTATAAAATAAACAACCAGAAATTACAATACGAAGATTTGACGGTGTGAAGAAACCTTTATTGTACTTTATATCTTAGGGTAATTTAATACTATTGTAAGTAGCCACCCGCGCATTATCTATACATTAAAGCAATTATTAAATAATATTGGAGAACTTACAAAAGAATGAGTTTTTTTTTAAGATGTGTTAACATATTAATCTTTAAGAAAGATTAGACCAGTTGTTTTGTATTCATTAGGTTTGGCAATTAATATAATTTAAGTTCTGGTAATTATATAATATAATATCTAAAAGTCAATAAATATTAATAATTTAGCCTCTTCTTTATAATTATCCGCATTGGTCTAGTGGTTAGGATCTCCCGCTCTCATTAAAGAGTCCCGGGAAGGCCGGGGTTCGATTCCCCGATGCGGAATTTACAATTTTTTTTTTTTCCCCCGATGAGCGATTGATTTATACATAAAGAGAATGTTTGTGTTTGTGCACGCTAAATTTGAAATGTTTGTGTTTGTACAGTAACGATAAACTCTAAATTTGATAATCTATTTGAAAAACGTTAACAATGGTAAGAACCTACTAATTTACATATCCACCAATTTTCATTAAAAAAAAAAAAAAAAAAAAAGAAATGGAAACCAATAACTCCAAAATATCTAATCTAGAACGAAAAAAAGTATATCCGTTTTGGTTTGGAGGTACGTAGGCTTACTGAATTATTCATTTTGAAAAATTTATTGACATTAATTCATTCTTATTCGTTCTTAAATAACATTTTGAAATAGGTGCGGCAGCCTGTACTGCCTGCTTAGTTAGTCACCCCTTAGATTTAACCAAAGTTCGCATGCAAACAACGACCGGAGTAAACGCGAAAGGAACTCTTAAAACTGCAATTGATATAATAAAAAATGAAAAATTTCCCGGAATATATAATGGACTTTCCGCTAGCATTTTGAGACAGGTTACGTATTCTACAATGAGATTTGGAGTTTATGACAAATTGAAATTGTTGCTAAGCAAAAATGGAGGTATCAAAGAACATATTACAATATATTATAGTTGATGAAAAATATTATTACTAATATTTGTCAATTCATTATAAAACTAACATTTATAATATTCCAGAAAACCTTTCATTTGTAAAAAAAATCATTTGTGCATCGATATCAGGGTGCATCGGCGGAGCATTTGGAAATCCAGCAGACCTTGTAATGGTTCGCATGCAAAATGATGCAAAGTTACCATTAGAATTGCAACGTAACTATAAGAATGCGTTTGATGGTCTTTATCAAATAATCAAAGCGGAAGGATTAAAAGGCCTTACTCGAGGTATCGGACCAAACATGAACCGAGCCATCTTTATGAATTCATCACAAATAGCATCGTATGAGCAAATTAAACAGTTGTTATTGGAGACTAAATTATTTGGTGATAATATGGTCATTCATTTCATTTCTAGTTTTTTGGCGGTACGTTTAAAGTAAAAAAAAAAAAAATTTTTTTTTACAGATCATTTAATAATTTCTATTTATGATTAAAATTATTTTTAGGGATTCGTCGCTACAACTGTCTGTTCACCAATTGATGTTATTAAAACTCGTATCATGAACTCAACTGGAATGAAGGTATATATTCTTATTTATTGTGGTGGAAATTGGCTGAAACAGAAAATTAGACAGATTAATAAAAAGTTTTTAATAATAATAACATTGCTGCGTGGTTGTTATTTATAGCCTTATTGTAATGGTTATTATAAATTTCAGTTTTGGTCAATTTCAGCACCAGCTGCCACATCTATTTGTTACTGCTTTAAATTGGATATGATATATTACTCTTTTCTTTTGTTTTTTTTTAACAGCAAAGTTTTGTGACCGTGTTTACTTCGACGATTACTAATGAAGGACCTCAAGCACTGTTCAAAGGTTGGGTACCAGCTTTTGTGCGGTTGACGCCACATACAGTAGTGACATTTATGGTTTTAGAACAGATAAAAAAGTTTTATGATAGGCGAATTGAATTAAGAATAAAAGCTACTCATGATTGGAAATATCATTAATTAGAAATTGTTTATATAAGTAATGATGAGTGCTGGCAAAGCAAAACCTCGAACCGGCAATTATAGTTTATTATTTCTGAATAATAAACTATAATTCCGGTTCGAGGTTTTCCTGTGCCGGCACTCATATATGAATTTTGACACATTTTAGCACATAATGGATCTTTCTTTGCGAAAGGAAGGTACGTTCGGTATATAATTAACACTTTTTTATAGTGTATAAACATCAAAAAACATTTTATTTTTATTTAATTTTATTTATAATTCAGTTCATTGTTTTCTTCTAAAAGGTATGTACTTAACAGGTTATTTTTATTCTCGCCAGAAATTTTACAAATTAATTTTCTGGTAAATTATTAAATATGTCGAACATTAATTTACTATAATGATCAAAGATACCTTTCTTAATAATATACAGCCGAGGTAGCTGCATAAAAATCATGTACGGATATTTGGTTGACTTTGTGCCAAAGAAGGCACCTTAGTATTATATGGGAAAATAAACCTAATAAAGGTGATCTGTTAAAGTATCGTCATAAATTAATAATGAATAAACCTAAATTATTCGTTGTTGATTATATATAGATACTTACAATGTACAGGCCCCAACAATCTATTATCAACAGAAGAACTGGTGCTAGCCGTTACCTGCATTTGGATACTAGATGTCTCCTTTACTATATCACCTGAAGATAAACAAGGTTTATTATCTTCTGATTCTTTAACTATGTCGTTAGGGTCGACTGAAGGTAACCAAAATACCTGTAAAATGACGATTATTAAATGATTATTATTATATGTATATATATTTTTTTAAATAATTAATGACAATTGACTAGCCAATAAATTCATTCAAAATATATGTATTTCTAGTGTTTATACGAATGTTTGTGACGTCATTTCAATCCATAAGTTTGCATTTTTATAATTAGTAAAATAAAATATTCGCGTTTTTTTACTGTATTGATAATATATATATAAAAAGAAAAAGAATATAAAAAATATAAGTTATTATCATTACAGAAACGTCACGAATACCTTATTCTCTAACAGTAAATTATATTATTTTTTTAAAAAAATTTATGAATTCATTTTCAAGACTTTAAAAAGTATAATTAACTTGCCAAATCAGTGCATGCACTTATCAGTAATAATTTTGTTGGATTAAATCTCGTAACTTGCGTCGGTTTGACATGATGGTTTAATGTGTGGATAGGTCGAAGATCAATGTTTTCAGTGTTTGATGAATTGATGGATTTTGTTGTGTCCCAAATTAATACAAGACCATCTCGAGAGCCTTTATTATAAATCAAAACAAGATTAAACAAGGGTAATAATCCAAGTAATAAATACAAATAATAAATACAAGGCAATAATATAATAATATTGTTATAGTACCAGATATTACGTATTGACCATCAGGAGTAAAACTTGTCTCTTCACCTCCCAAGCATACCGAGGCATTATCTAGCCCTATATGACCAATTAATCGTTGTTTTAATTGACCATTGAAAGCATCGACTAAATAATGAACATCGCCAGATGTAGTTAATAATATTTTTTGGCCGTCATTACTAAACTTTAATCCAGTCCATTCAGGAGGAGAAGTTGGCAAGACATTTGAATTTAAATAATTATCATCGATTTGAAAAGTATCGAAAGGAGACTAAGTACAAAAATATTAAACCAAGTAATTTTTTCGGAAAATGTTGAATAAATGGAAAAATAAAAAAAAAAATTATTATTATATAATATAAAAACGAATGACAATCAACCTGACCAAATTTTCGGCTATCATATAACTGAACAGTTTTATTGCTACGTTTACCAATTGCAAACACAAGACCAGAAGGATCATATCCTAAACAAGGTCTGCCGGATTGAATATCTATAAAATCCTATAAATAGGATAAAAGTCAAAAAATATAAGAGAACCAGAAATTAGAAAATATTAACATGTAAATCAATATCGATGAATTTATCAATAATATAACCTAATAAGTACAATGGCGTTAGGTTGTCTTAAATCCCATAACCGAACACCCTCATCGATACTCCCGGTCAAAAATTGATCATCTACGGGAGACATTTCTAAAGCGACTACCCTATAAATCAAGTAAAAAAAAAGTACAAAAAAAAGTATAAATAAAAGTATAAATAAAAGTATAAATAAAGTATAGAGTCAGAGAGATAAAACAAATAAATAATATACATATATATATGTGTGTGTATATATATATGTATATATATATATATGTATATATGTATATATGTATATATTTACGTGTGTATATAACGAAAAACATTGTAAATACAGACCTACTTTGGTGACCACGAAAATATCTTATGAATTGGTTGTCACGTAATGACAAATATCTTAGGGTATCTAGGTCAAAGTATAAAAGGTTATATATAGATTAAAATCGAATCTACCAAAAAATAAGATAATTAAATACATACCATTGCCTTTTGTTGACGCGTATACGATATCGCTACTCGAGTGCATAAACCTAGTTAGATGCACACCGTACTTTTTGCTAACTGAAAAATTTTCGTGTCTTTTAAAAATATAATATTTTTCTTTATATAAATGAAATTCCTAATAAAAGCACGTGAATTAAAACCTCGAAACTAAAACAAACTACCTTCCAGTTTGACAATTATATAAGTTAATAGTTTCGTCGGTTGAAGCGGTAACACAAAATTCGCCAGAGCTATCAAAATCAAGAGCTGTGATAGATTGAGAATTATCATAAAATTCTTTTGCTTTCTTGAGATTTTGAAGGTGGGTTAGACTAAGGACTTGATGGGTTTGTTTATTATTATTTAAAGTTTCCATTTATAATATTAAGAGTAAGTTTTAATACCGAAGAGCTCTATTTTGCAGAGAAGTTTAAACAACAACCAATGATCGACGATCAAAACCCAGATTTCATGTGACTTGAATGCAATTGCTGTATTGTAAAATTTATTATATACCGTATATATCGATATATACAGTATTACTGTTACATGTACATATTTTTATTTATATACTATATACGTATGTATCGAGCGCTATAAAAAAGAGGTCTTTGGAAAATTCAATTTTTATGTAATAAATTTTATAATAAATCATAAGAAAATATAACTTTTAAAGAGCTATACCGATACTACAAGATTTTATTAATACGTGTCTTAAATAAAAAATGATCCTAATCTTTATTCTAAATCTTTTTGCAATATATATATATTGATATTACATATCGATACTAATAAATCGATATAATGACAAGTTAGCATATACATAATGCGTATTACTGTATCGGTATTACGGAATGCGCGTTTAATAAACCGTTTTTTTTTAAGATCCACGTGGAATTGAATATATGCATCATATTCTTGAGTGCACAATTGAAAAAACATATCGATGTTGCTTTTTTTTCACACCATTCATATATCGATATTGCTTTTTTCACATCATTTATATTTTGAGCCTTACGAAGATGAATTTGTCAACTTGATTACTATTTTGATTGATAAATGATTGATAAAGATTTTTTGGAATTCCGAATTTTTTTAACAAATTAACGGTAATTCATTTAATATTCAAATATGTCAATACATAAAATATTGGATGACGAGCTAATCAAGTTATTAATCAAATTTCAAGAGGAAAAGACTAATTAATTGTACAAGTAAAATATGATAGACTAGTTTCTGAGAGGATAAATTCGCGTGACTTTATGATAAATGGTAATAAAATAAATACAAGATATATAAAAGTATTATATAATTGATGAGGAAATGAATATATTATAATTAATGAGATAAAGTTCTGTTATTGTTAAATAAATATAAAAGCAAGTGTTAAAACCTTTTTAATGATCTCATTTTCGTTGACTTGTTCTATTTTTTTTTTTTTTTCCCCTCTTTTAATTCATCGATTTATAAAATTCACTGATAATGGTAATGGCAAATAATAAAACTAGTAGCAATCAAATCAACTGTGTTTCGCTTTGCAACACGAATAACTCTCAACAACAGAGACATCGAACAACTCCATCTCAAGCACAATTTCTTGAAAATTATTTCACAAATATTGATGATTTTCCTGATTCAAATATGAGAGAAAAAATCGCTCTTAAAATTAATATGCCATCTAAAAGTGTTCATATTTGGTAGCTATAATTTAATTTTTATTATAATTCATGACACTGAAATTAATGAAATTAATGAAATTAATGTGAACTTTCATTTAAATTTCTATTTGTTTGAAGGTTTCAAAATCGTCGTGCAAAACGTAAGCAAGAAGACAGAACTCGTCAAGAACAAGAAACAATTCGTTCTGCGCGTTCATCATCATCATCTTCCGCTTCCACGTCGTCTCCCAATCGTACTATCCCTTCGCAACAACAGTCACGTGCATCAGAACTGATGATTACTTCTCGCTATTTGATTTACGCTAATACCCATGGAAATCATCGTGACAATCGTGTTTCCATCACTTCTTCGCGACAGCCATTGGCTCACATGAATCGTCAAATTACATTACAACAAAATTGTTATAAACTTGCTCCATTAAGAAATGTAACTCCAAGAGACGAAGTAATTAATTCTCAGGGTGAAAACATTATGCTTCCATCTTTACATCGCATCATCTCTCAAATTGTTTCTACATCCTTTGGAGATAAAAATGTGCCGGTAAATTGTAACAATAATACCTACCATAATTCATCTCCTAAACAGTTTTCGTCGTCATCATCGTCTTCGTCTCACGAACAACCATCAATGTCATCTACATCATTTGGTCCTCCTTTTAAACCCTCTTTTCCTCTACATCCCACTCAATTCGTTTCAAATTCTTTTCATTGCTCACGCTCTCACCATAATCATCACCACCATCATCATCATCATCATCTTTCTCGCCAATGTTGTGTTGGGCAGTCTGTTTTACATCACGCTATTCTGAATACATCTTGTTCAAATACTGCCCCACCTAGCCACATGACGGTTGATTCTTCTATTGAAAAGAACTCTCGCAGAATTAATACCGTAGAAAAAGCAGAAGAAAATGAAACACATAATGACGGTGTTGTTAGTATGAGGATCGATCGATTGTTGATCTAATTGTCTAATTGACCGAGCTAGCATTTTCAGATACCTTTCTATATGCTTCTTTTTTTTTTTTTGGTACAACAATGAACATTTTTTGTAAAGACATTGCTTTGATAGAATATTTTAATGAATTCATGTTTATTCTGTGCATTTTTTTTCAACAATAATAAAATTTCCATTATTGGATA